AGCCTTCTTTTTTGTGAATGGTTGTGAGGACTTCAATCTTGAGTGAGACTGAGCACAAGGCCTCAGTCTGAAGCCCTTCGGCATCGCCGGACCAACGAATAAAGTCTAAGACAGCCTGGCACAGGAATTATGTAGGGCCCTTAATAATTACCTATAATATTTTTCCTTATTATAATTATAGTACAACGGGCACCAAAAACCAGGTTCTATTGATTAAGGCCCCCAGATGAGAGGCAGGGATCCCGGAAGGCCAGCAGACAGCTGTCGTTGCAGAGTTGACCCTATCGCAGCCGCAACCAAGGAATCGGCTAACACAGCTGCCCGACAAGTTTGGCCGGCTGGTAAGTCTGACCGAGCTTTACCTTAGCAGCCTTGCTGAAGATGGGTTCAGGTCGTTGGGCTCGACGCCGGAAGTCGGAAGTTCCGTTGGGTGAGCATCGTAGCGGAAACGTATCCAGAGTGATACAGGCGGGAAGGCTGAAATAGCCTAAGAATTGACACAACAGGACAAGCAAGAGTAGGAAGAGTGCTGCTGCCGGTGTACTGGGTGGCGGTCGCAATGAGCGGTCACGGTGAGGTAACAACAGCCTGGTGTCTCTGCCGGACGACTTCGGTCAGCTGAAGTGCCTTCAGAGGCTGTGCCTCATCTCTGTTTGGTATCCGAGCTCGGAGTCTGCAGGGCCCGAGACATGTAGCTTCACTGTTTTCGGTTTTGGTGGAAAGAAAAGGCCAAGTTGAGGCTTTCGGCCCGGAATCTTCATGTGGGTAGTTGTCAAAATTATGGTCCCTTTTGGGGTACCCTCAATGATAGGTGCCGTATTATAGTAAGGACCCAAAAAGGGACCATGATTTTGACAACCACCCATGTCCTAAGTTCAGGTCTGTCGCCCTGGACTTTTTGCACGCTGAACTCTGAACTACAGCGCTCAGGTCTTTGGACCACAACCAGCTCCGCCTTCTGCCGGAGAGCTTCGGCGAGCTGTCTGGTCTGCACACGCTGAACATCGAGAGGACTGGCGATGGAGAGTTCAGGGTTTAGGGTTAAGGGTTTAGGGTTGCGGGGGACATTAGCCGGGCGAGCTCCAATCAAGCCTGTGTAAAAAAGGGTTTAGAGTTCAGGGGTTGTGGTTTTGAAAGCATTAGAGAACCTCAAGGCAGCAACCACCGCAGGAAGCCCGCTACTTAACTTTCATTCCAATGCCCCCACCACTACTCTTACTCCTCCTCCTCCTCCTCCTCTTGCTGGGGCAGCTCCGTCTACTACGACCACAACTACCACTACTAGTGCTGTCGTTGACGTGCCAAGTGGGTGACAAAAAGTACTGGAGCTTTCCTGCGGGCTGTCATAGGCGTGCCAGATGGGTGACAGCAAGTACTGCAGCTTGTTCGAAGTCCGATTTTCTGAAGGTCAGGCAGCTTTTCATGCCAAAGAATGCCACAGATAAGTATAATATAGGGACCTTGATAATTACCTGTACTATTTTGGGAAATCCTGACTACACTTATAGTATATCATTATACACCAAAACCCTATTCTAATTTTTAAGGCCCCTTACATTACCGAAAAAGGCATTCATGCATGGCTCAGGTTCTTTGCTCTCAGGGGTTAGGCCTGATGGGTCGGTGATGGACGGCTGGAGACGTCGGAAGCAGCAACCGTCGGAACCTCGCTTTAAGACGCTCCCCCCTCCGCCCTAAACCCTAAACCCTGAACCCTGAATCCGCAACCCCTAACCCGAAAGCCCCAGGCCCCGGATCTGAAGAGTCAGTTCTGAGTCGTGAACCTTGCTCCCGACGACTCGATGCCTCTATCCTTGGGCGTCTGCATCGGCCTGCACTGTAGCTGCCCTGGCTCCCAGGCCCTGAACAAAACCCTGAAACCAAGGCCTCGACTTTGTACCCGAAGGCCATGAACTCAAAACGTTGCGCTGGACTTAGAGATTCGGGGGCCGAAGTCCCAAGCAGGAACCACATCTCCGTGCTCCCTGACAGCTGCAGCAACCTCTTCTTGACGGAGTTGTGCCTTGGAGCAGGATTGCGCGGAATGGAAACTTGTAACTTGTGTGGTGGGATTTTTATGGCGATGCAACGTTGGCGGTTTCAGAATCTTGACGGTTTCGGGCGATTGGCCCAGGGGCCGCTGAGCACATGGATTCTTTGGCAGCTTAGGTACATTGATGGAGAGAAGCTGCAGTATTGGCCCAGCCAGCACTGGGCAGATTTGCACTTCGACCTGGAGCTGTTGGGGGCAACATGATCCGAGATTTCTTGGGACTCGCGGGTGATGCTGTGCCCCTCCTGGACTTGCCTTTGTTGCCGCTCCTTTTGCTGCCTTACGGCTCACTTGCCTGGCCGACCACAGTAGTTCTTCGTGCTCCACTCTGCAAGAGATTAGGAGCCGGCATCTTGCCGCCGTGTTTGTTGCCATGGTCAGCGCGAAGACCCTGTACGGAGAGCGGAATATGCTCGATCCCTTGGACGCTGATCAATCCGCCTGTATGCTGGGAAATGCTGGAGCTGAACATTTGCCTCTCGCGCAAAAGTGCTATGAGTTTGAACTCAGACATGAAGTGAAATCGAACGGCAACCCAGTACTGCCCCATAAAGCAGGGGCCGAAACTCAAAGTCACGTAGGAGGCCGAAAGCACCCCCAATGGGGGAGGCCGAACTAAGTCTGCCGAAACTGTAAGTCGCAAAGCGCAGGTGGAGGCCGAAACCCTAAGTCACATAGGACATAGGACCCCCAATGGGGAGGCCGAACTAAGTCTGCCGAAACTCTACGTCGCAAAGCACGGCTCCATATGTGGAGGCCGAAACTCTAAGTCACATAGGAGGCCGAAAGGACCCCCAATGGGGGAGGCCGAACTAAGTCTGCCCAAACTGTAAGTCGCAAAGCGCGGAAGTCTGCCGAAACTCGAAGTCGCAAAGCGCGAGTCGGAGGCACGACGACTCTGCAGACACCGGTGTGGACACGCCGGGTTCTCTGCCGTGACAGGGCTTGGGATTGCTCAGCGGTAAACCGGTAAAACATAAACTTCACAGCTTTTAGATTGATGGAGCCACTTGATTGGTAGATTCAAGAAGCTGTGGGGTTGACTTACGGTTTAGGGTCGCGTAAACCCTAAAGCTCCAGGCAGGTGCCCCTTGTCAACTGAATGCCTCGATATGCGTGATATGTATGCGTGTTTTCTTCTTGTTGTCCTCGTGTTCGCGCAGTGAATCGGTCAAGACTTCAAACACCAGTCGGGCGATAAAAACTGCTTCCGCGATTCGTTGAAGGAGGGCGAAAGCAAGGGAGAAGTAGAGAAAGAGAGAGAGAGAGAGAAAGTTGACTTCTGCACATTTTGCAACCCACCGCTCGAGATCGGTTGCGCATCTTACTTTGACAGCTCACCTCTGCCTTTGTGGGGTATGCCAAATTAACAGCTCGCTCCCCACCTGTCGAAGGCGCTAACGCGCGCGGGTAAGGGGGGCTCGTCTTCCCTTGCCCCTAGCCCTGGCGAAAGAAAGAGAGACAGACAGACCCTACACCACAGCCCTGGCGAAAGAAAGAGAAAGACGTGGGGGAGAACCGATGCGTACTGTTCACGCCCCTTCAAAAGCAACCCCAAACACTGAGAGGCCCTTGTGGCCAGGGGGTTTCGCACACCCCCCTATGCCCTGTGGAAGAGAAGAGAACAACGGGAAGAGAGTCGAGGTTCTGCACTGGCCTCGGGAAGTTTATAAAGGTATGGCGTGCAAGGACCCCGGCGCCCGGGTGACACAGTATGCTGCGTGGGATTTCGTGGCTCAAGCTCAGCATGATCTTTCACAGCGATGCAAAGGTAGAACTTACAGGGAACAAATCCAAACAAACCTTCAATTTGCTTTACTACTCTGCTCGTGCAGCGGGGTTAGTAATGACTACTAATGAGCGAGGGGAGGAGGGACAGAACTCCCCGGACGGTGGAATTCATCATTATTGGTGCCAGTGCCCTGACGGACCCTATACAGTAGGCGCGCATCCTGAACCTGTTTCGCCTGCAATTCTGAAGCCTATGTACTAAGTCACAGAGACCCACCGAAGGTCAGGTCGCCAAGCTTCTGCCGGCAACAGTCCCTGCCTCGGTGGACCAAATGCTGCTGAACGCTGAGTATCCTTTAATTTCTCATTGGGGAGTCTGATTTGGGATGCGAATGATACTTGAAATGGTGCTGGTGTTGTGGCCGCCGTCGTCATCGTGCCGTGGTTTCTCCGTCGCGAATCGGTGTTTCTTATGCTCTGAGTAGTCGTCACATATTTGTCGGATCGTCCCCATCCATCTCGTTTTGCTATTGGATCGGTAGAACTTTGACCTTCAGGGTTGTCCCTAACAGTTTGAACCTGAAGGCCTACATGCCTCTCAGAAAAATGTCGTAGGTGTCTCTTTTGATGTTCTTCGGCATTCTGTATCCAGCGAAAATTTCCCGAACCCGAAACAGTCAACCGTACACAGAAGCAGTGGCGTAAGGTTGAGGCCGTAAGGTCTAGGGAGTGAGGCGGGAGCCTGCAGCAGAAAGGAAGTGTACGCTTCCGGGAGCGCATGTTCCATCTTGAAAGCCCAGCTCTTCGGAAGTTTCAGACGTTTTCTTGGCCGTGCAGCTTGGCTCTGGGGTTTGCACTGGGACACAGCAGCTTGCTACTTCCAAGCATTCGGCACTTCCTCGTGGTCAACTTAAAGCCATCTGATTGCTACTGTGCGATTGGTTGTTACGTCGTTCACAAGGTCTAGGACATTTTCAGGTGGGTAGTTACCGTTATAAGAGCCTTATAGAAGGTCTATATACCTGCTAGAAGCCTTATAGAAGCCCTATATACCCTAAACTCCCCACCGCGAACCCCTAGGGCGAGGCACGCAACACTAAGCTTCAAACCCCAGGCCTTAATCCCAACTCTAGGCACCGAAAGCCTTTCGTAAGGAGCACTAAGGAACCGAAACCAAAAAGTCTGCAACCCGAAGCCCTTTGATAGAGAAGCTGTCATGGATGGTTCTGAGAGCGACTCTGACACAACGGGCTTTTGCCCGGCGACTCCGCGATCACCTCGCAACTTGGGTTGAGCAACAAGTGAAAAAGTTTATAGGATCTAGGTTGGGTTTAGGCTTTAGGGGTCCATGGTTAGGGTGATGATTTTTCTCACGACGGTTTTTTGCTGCTACGGTTCGTACTAGGATGGTATAGCAAGTAGAGCCACATTTATTCTGCCAGCATTTCTGCATTTATGACGTTATGACCATCACCGAAATTGTGTTGTTCTCGCGCAGCGCAGGAGGCAAATTATTGCTACTATTCCTATTCTCGTTAGTGTTCGTTCTGCTATGGCTATGACTTGAGGCATGATTTAAAACCCGGCTCGAATTTTAGTTTCCGCATGTTTCAGGGTTCATGAGAAGCTTAGGAGCTCTTGCACGTTTCAGGGCTTACGGCCCAGGACTCACGACAGAGGGATGATGCTTCAGGGTTTAGGGTGACCCTCTTCTGTGGGTGCTGTCCGACCCGGGCGAAGTGCGAAGCCTGCTGCTAAAGGGTGACCCTCTTCTGGATTTCGCCCTTGGGTCATGCGTGCTTGGGTCCTTGTCGGCCGCCCGGATGTAGGGCTTAAAGAGAAGTCGGCTGCAAGGGGAGAGAAGATGGAAGCCCCAAATATATATATATATATATATATATATGGATATATATATATATATATATCTATCGACATACATACATACACACCCGCACTCTCCAGTCTTTTTTTTGCATGCTGTCATAGTGTGGCAGTCCAGTATGCATGGGTATGTACAAAAACAAGCAGTGTACGTACCCACTGCATACATGTCCTTAGAGCTCTTTCACTTGGACCTGCTGGAGGTCTACTGCGGAGGGGTTTACCGAGTTCCCGAACCCGGGGCTTCTTCCACGTGCGCTATGGGGGCATCGGCCGTTTTGAGGCCAGGAGAGCGAGTTCGCATCGAGGTAGTTTCGGGCTTTGCGTCTGGGTAAGTCAAGGATTCAGGCTTGGGTGGTTGGGGATCCCAGCTCTTCCGAAGACATGCCCAGTGCCCGTGGTTGACGAGGTGCTGTAGTGGTTTGGAAGAAGGGCGGAGCGGTGTTCGGGAGTTGGGGTTCTGGTTTTGTAGGGTTTAGGGTTTAGTGCATTTAGGGACCCTAAACCCAAAACCCCAAACCCCCAGGGTTCTGGAGATTGAAAAGAAGGGGCTGTAACACCTCCTTTGGGGTAGTCAGACTCTGACTCTTGGTAGGGTGCCCTAGAACCCCAAGTAAACCTTTCAAGCCATTGAGCCGCAGCTGGGCGCTGCTTCTGTGCTTAGGAGTTCATTCGAACAGACCTCTTCCACTACTTGGCTAACATGCCTTTTCGGTACTTGGTTCTGGTCTACGCCGTGACATACTTTCTTGGATGGGTGGCTTTTACTTTCTGGTGGCAAGCGGTGGCAGAGGGATGCGAACCAAAGGATCTCACCTTCCGTCGTGCTTTTTTGCTTTCCCTGGAGACGATGACGACGATTGGGTATGGAGTTTCGGACCCGTTGGCTTCGCTGCAAGCAGTACATGCGTAATATAGTGGCCTTAAATAATTACCTATACTGTTTTGGGGGGGGGGGTGCCTCCAATGGGCCCCAAAACCCTATTCTAACTATTCAGGCCCCCACATTAGTCTTCCACATGAGCGTCGAGACATTGCGGGCAGGACGCTAGTAACAGGAGAATGAGGAACTAAGGTTCTTTGACGATTGCCGCGGAGTCATTCCGCTCCTGGTGGTACAATCCCTACTGGGACTATTGATGGACACGTATTTCCTGAATCTGATGTACACGCGTCTTTCAACCGCCGTCAAACGTGCGTCGAGTATTATTTTCAGCGACGTAGCTGTGGTATTTGAGGAAGGCGGCCACATCAAGCTGTCCTTGCGAATATGCGAGGCTGGAACTGTCGGGTTTCATGCCAGATCGGGAAGGCTGTCATGTCATAGTAATGGGAAGCCGTGTGTTTCCGGACGTCTCGAAGGTGTATCTTGTTCTCTGCTGTTTCGACATCTGCGTTGACACAATGTTTCGCATGGCGTTTAGACACGGCCAGTGCAGCTGAATGCGCCGCATGTAGAAATCGTCTCACAGGCAGGCTCCTGTGAACCCAGAACCTTACGCGTGCGAAATGCAGAACCCTCACGGTTCCAGTTCAAGCGCGCGGCAGCGCTTGGCAACGTGTTAGTACGCGACCCTCCCCCCGGCGACTCACCGAGCCTCTCCATGGCTCTAGACTTTGGCCCGCGCCGTGGCAAATGCCATGCGCCATGCGCTGATTGAAGCTCTTTCGTTTCGGAAAGCATGTAGTCGTAGTTCACCAAAGAATCGTAACTTGGAATGGGAAGGCTTAACCCAAGCTCGGTCATGCAAACCCACAGGTTGCCAAGCGGCCGGTGATTGAACCCATTGTGCGCATGTATGCCATCAAGCATGACACGCTTCCAGAGCCGACAGAACTCATTGAAGCTCGGTTGGCTGTGAGGGTGAAAAACGGTAGAGGTTTGGGGTGGAGGATTTACGGCAAGTTGTTTCGAAATTTAGGTCTGGGGTGCCGGCAGGGGTTGGGGCCTGCAAGCCAGAATGCTCTGGTATATTTTGGTATTCGTGATTTTTCTGTAGGACCTATAGGTTGATTTGCGTTGAGGAGCGCAGTCTCAGTAGACCCAGGATGTGGATGTCCGTCAGATGATCCTGGAGACGCCGAACATCGAGATCGCAGACGGTAAGCTCTTCTTGACGCTGCCCACCAAGGTCGCCTTCATAAACACCCGAAACCCCCAAACCCTACCCGACCGCCAATCTAAACCCTGAAGCCCCTCGAGCGCGTAAATGTGAGACCCGAAGACGTGTTTCTCCAAAGCCCAAAACCCTAAACCCTAAACCCTAAACCCTAAGCCCTAAACCCTATAAACCCTAAACCCAAACTTAAGGTCCGCTTGAAGCCATGCCTGCCTTGTGCGAGTGGAAACCTGAGGTCGTCCATCGGGTGGATGCTGCATCCCCGCTGGCGCCACCAGACCTCCAGCCGCTAAGACCTGCACAGGTTTTGGTTTGAAGGGTTTCGGGGTTTAATCTTAAGGGTTTGTAGGTTTCGGTGCTTAGTAGTTTTTTTTTAGTTTTGGGGTCAAGGGCTAACGGTTGGCCCTCCTCCCTCGACGCCACAGGAAGCGGGCACTTGCGCTTACTTTGTTGACTTTAAGTTTTGTGGGCCCAGGGACCTCGATGACTTCCAGTATTGCATCAACAGCTTGGACTACCTGGAGATCCTGGTGGTTGTCAGCGCAAGCTGCCCTATCACGGGTAACATGCTGGAGGCTCGCCACTCCTACTCCAAAGAAAATCTCCGCTACAAAAGCCGGCTGGCTCCCTGTGTCCGTGTATTTGATGGGGCGCACGAGGTTGATTTCGAGGCCTTCCACCAGACGGTTCCACTCAAGTGAGACCTGGCTCCCAAGGGGCACCCGACGCCCGGAGACTCCATAATCACAAATCAAGGAATACACCTGAAATAGCATGAACATGGCAGGTCCTTTAGAGAAGTCTCTTGGTGTGCCTACTCATGTCAAGACTTCTGGAAGAGCTGGAGGTTGTTCGACACTGTGCGCCCCTATGATTACTCTATGTGCCACGGAATATACAAGTACGTGATACAGACACCTCAGCAAAGTGCAAATCCGTTTGTGCCATGCGCCCCGCTATTTTTCCGAAAACACCGTGCGAGATGCAAAACGGAGGCCACAGCTTTTCTTGACAGCAGGGTATCTGAGAAGCATCTGTTGGAAAGCAGGGTGGCCATGAGGTCATGAATCCCTGTTCCTTTGCCCCACGGCAGGTCTGGACAACACCCCAAATCCTGCCCTGTATCCGATGCCAGTCAAAAGTGGGGCAGGTGCCATGAAGTTAACCTCGAGTCTAGCGTATCGCAGAAATTTGTGGTATTTCTTAGCCTTTTGCTGCTATTCATAAGGTCCACAGTGTTCTTGTTGCTTTCATGGTTGGAGTTTCGGTTCTCGGACTTACAGTTCTTTACAGTTCTGGCAGTTGTTGTCAATGTAAGTCAGTACAAGTAGCACCGGCAGCATTTCGTCGTCCTGCCTAATAATCACCGATTCAAGACGAGCAGCATGCTTGTTCAGCTGCTGCCATTGCAGTTCACGCCATGATCACGCCTTTGGCGGTGTGTTGCAGGTATTGACATGGTTACTGTGGTTCCACCTTTAGAAAGTCTCGTTTCTTTGTTCCAACTGCAGTCTGTCATGTTGTCATTCTGTGCCCAATTGTCGCGACTTGAGGGCTTCTCCAAAGTGGGGTCCCTATCTTCGTTGTAAGAATGAGGTACAGCCTTGGGGGCCCAATGACCCAACGTCTACCCCGCTACTCACATGTTCATCCTTTAAACATGTCGAAGCCCTCAGACGAGGTGGCGAGACCGGGTCAGTCAGCGGCGTGCTAGAACTGCCGACAGATGCCTTGGCAGCGGCTTTCCCAGCTTCGGGGCTTTGTTCATACCCCACATGCACCCCATGACTGCTACCTACAGCAATGACAAGAACAAGAAAAGCAGGCAACACCAGTATCCTAGAAAACGATGGTATTTTCAGTCGCAACGATTTCATGAAAAGTATGCTTGTCATGTTTGTGGTAGCTACTAACCAGCTTGCCAGCTAACTGCCATTTCGATGATGAGGATGATGCAATGACGATGATGACAATGGTGATGCAATGAGGATGATGATGATGATGCAATGACGATGATGACAATATGATGCAATGATGAGGAGGATGATGATGATGATGCAATGATGATGATGGTGATGCAATGGTGATGATGATGACGATGATGATGATGATGATGGTGGTGAGCTCAGCTCGTGTGTGTGGTTCGATACATCTGAGTTGACAAGCCAAGATCCAGGGATCTTCCCGATACCTCGGAGCTCGGTAGTCCGAGGCCAACATGGGAAAGCTCGACGTGGACGATGTCAGCGGGGAGCTTGGGACAGAACTCAACTTGTGGGTTTCAGATTCTTCAGGTTTTTTTTTAAATTCTAAGGGAAGCCAAAAGCCCCTGGATTCGTCATGTAGTGTTTTGGTGGTTTCATGGTGTAGGGCCGTATGGCCTGGAGTTGAGTTGCCCGGTTATTAGCGTGTAATTTAGGGTGACGGGTTCAGCCTGAAATTTTGAATCTTGAAGCGCCTGAAGCCCAAACTCTAATTTCGGGGCCGTAATAATTAGAATAGGGCTTTGGGCCCCGTTGTACGATAATTATAAGACGGAACCCCCCAAGGCCCCTACATCAGACCCCTAATGCTTAAGCCCGAGCTCGTCATGTGAGGAAGCCAAGGTTGGTTCTGTAATGGTAGGGTTTCTGGCTAATGTAGACGTGCAGGGTCGGGGCAGGCGTGGAGAACATCGAGATGCTGCTGTCCCGCATCGTGGGCAGAATCGTGGGCAGCTCAGCATAGAGTCAGCTTCTCCTGAAATCGAAGCGTCCTTCTGTCACCCATGTTTTCTCCAAAGAAATGGGAGTTTCCGAAAAGAAGGGCTGCCTTATTTTGGGGGTCCTTGTAATAAGGATCCTACTATTCAGGGTACTATATTCGGGTCCCCCATTTTCGGAAATCCCCAAATCAGCGTCCCTTTGCTCCTCCCGGGTGTTGTGTTGCTCTCCGCAATGGATCCTGGCCGGCTGGGAAAAAACCCGCTGAGCCCCTGCAACCTGAAACTCCAAAGCCAGCCCCTTAAGCCACTCCGTGCTAAATCTGAAAGTCTAAACCGGAGTTCGTATCATTCCGATCGCAAACAGCCCCAAGATCCTGAACCCTAATTCCACCCCAATTGCAGACCCTGCTATGCAGGCCTCATCCTAGCCGAGCGGGATCTTATTCAGATGTCTCATCAGGGTTGCTATTGATCTTGGAAGGTTTTTAGGGGTGGGTTATACGGGCTTTGCGGGCTTGTAGGGCCCTCCTCATTCCCAGGATCGCGGCCGCCTAGAGCTTGAGGAGAACCCAGGAGGAGCGTCGCAGCCTCTTGGGGGGGTTTGGGTGGTTTAGTGCCTCTATAGGGTTTGCTAGGGGACCGAGCGCTGCCCGATTTAATGGCTGCCGCCAATGCCGCCGACATGTAATTATGGTCCAGAGGGTTGAGAGTTTGGCGTTTATTGGTCATGGCTTTAGGGGCTTGCAATCACAAGTGTCCAGACGGTGAGGGGTGTCCGGAAATAGAGTGCAGGGCTCCGGGGAGGGCGATCGAAGACAAGACCAGGCCACGCCGCTACAAGCGCTGGGACCCGCGGGATGCGCGCTCCCGAGGGGGAGTGGAGTGCTTGTGTGCTAACTTATTCGGGCCTCGGCTGAAGAACGGCAGAAGAGGCAATGCTGGCAGTCATCAAGTCCGGCAATAGGCTTATGGTTGGGCTTTCGGTGCATGGGTCCTAGGTACTATTAGGGAGACCCCTCAAAGGGGACTCTTCTTAACGCTACTCATAGCTCTCTTAAGCGGGACTTTTTCAGAGGGTCTATATCCCCAACGGTCCCCCTAATCCTAACACCTATTGGGTAGCTGGGTTCAGGTTTAGGGTAAAGGTGACAACTAGATCCATCAATAGATGCTGCGGATCCCTGACCGTCAGACCAGAGGTCAGCACGGCTGTGCGTGAACCCGGAATCGCCAAAATGGAAAGCTTAAGCGAAGCCGTAATCTCTCAGAGTCCGGAGCTGTGCGGTTGATGCCGCAGGCAAGGCTTATATCAGAGGACTAATTTTCAGAGCCAAGTTCTGCAATACGACGATGATTTCGATGTCCATGCCACTTGTCTATGACCACGATCACGACAGCATCGGCGACTACTGCTGCTGCTGCCGCTCTTGTTGCTACTGCTACTGCCACCGCCACTGCTGCTGCTCCTCCTCCTCCGCCTCCCCGTAAAAAAACTTGTTCTTCTCACTAGGCCCCCTAGACTAAGCGTGTAGAAAAGCGAAAAACATTTCATAAAACTTCATTAATGAGGGAGGAGTTTTTTTTCGGAGTTGCTTTTGTAGCATCCATCGACGCCGGTAATCGGTAAGCCTTGCCGAGCCCTGCCGACGGAATCTGTAAGGAGCCCTTACAAAAACAACCTACTCTATAAAGGCCTCATATATAAACCCTACACCCAAAAGCCCTAAACCTAAACCCATCCTCCTAAACCCTAAACCCTAAACCCTAAACCCATCCTCCTATCACGGGCACTTCCTTAAGGCCGGCGACCTGTCAGATGTGGAGCCGCTGGAGCTGCAGCGGTGGGTGCGGCAGCCGAGACCGAGACGCTGTGCGCGTGATTTAGGAGCCGAAATGGAGGTTTCCGAAAATAGGGGACGCCAATATAGCACCCTAAATAGTAGGACCCTTACTATAAGGACCCCAAAATAAGGTACCCTAATTTCTGGAAACTCCCTATTAAATAATTACCAATACTATTTTAGGGTTTCCTTATCACCAATACTATTTTACGGGTTGCTTATTACCAATACTATTTTTAGGGGTTCCTTATTACCAATACTATTTTCGGGGTTCCTTATCACCAATACTTTTTTCGGGGTTCCTTATTACCAATACTTTTTTCGGGGTTCCTTATCACCAATACCTTTTTCGGGGTTCCTTATCACCAATACTTTTTGCAGGGTTCCTCATTACCAATACTTTTTTAGGGGCTCCTTATCACCAATACTATTTTAGGGGTTCCTTATCACCAATACTATTTTAGGGGTTCCTTATTACCAATACTTTTTTCGGGGTTCCTTATTACCAATACATTTTTCGGTGTTCCTTATTACCAATACATTTTTCGGGGTTCCTTATCACCAATACTTTTTTCGGGGTTCCTTATTACCAATACTTTCTTAGGGGTTCCTTATCACCAATACTTTTTTCGGGGTTCCTTATTACGAATACATTTTTCGGGGTTCCTTATTGCCAATACTTTCTTAGGGGTTCCTTATCACCTATACTTTTTTCGGGGTTCCTTATTACCAATACTTTTTTCGGAGTTCCTTATCACCGATACTACTTTACGGGTTCCTTATTACCACTGCTTTTTTCGGGGTTCCTTATCACCAATACTTTTTTCGGGGTTCCTTATTACCACTACTTTTTTCGGGGTTCCTTCTTACCAATACTATTTTAGGGGTTCCTTATTACCAATACTATTTTAGGGGTTCCTTATCACCAATACTATTTTACGGGTTCCTTATTACCAATACTATTTTCGGGGTTCCTTATCACCAATACTATTTTAGGGGTTCCTTATTACCAATACTACTTTAGGCGTTCCAATACTATTTTAGGGGTTCCTTATTACCCATACTATTTTAGGGGTTCCTTATTTAGTATAATATACCCCAAAACCTTATTCTAATTATTAAGGCTTCTACGTTGTGCGCGCCTGTGCTGTTACAGTCCTTAGTATGCTAGCTTGGAAGGCGGCTTCCGGCATACCGGATTCCAACGGTGTTTCCGGTATAGGGATGCGTAATTCGGACAGAGGTTTATGGGTTCAGGGTAAGGCGGGTTCAGGATTTATGGTTCTAGGTTCAGACTCTAATGGGGGTTTCCCTTCGTGAGTTGTTCTGAGAAAATGGGTTTCGGTCAGGTACGAGAACTCCAAATGGAACAGCCTCTGCATGGCGAGAAAGATGATGACATTAACTTAACGTTACAGGGTTTAAGTTCTAGGCTTGTTCAAGATATGCCAGGTATGGTCCAGGTGCAAAAGGCTTGTTCAAGCATCCCAAGGCCTTCAATCGAAAATCTGGGCTCAAGCGCGGTTTTTGGGGAGTCTGCCGGTGGGGCCGCGGTAGAGCCGTAATTAACGGAGCCACTCTTAGCCGCCTGCGCCTAGACGCTATGGCCGGCCGCGCTCCGCTCCTGTCCTGCTTGGCCCTGTTCTCCATGGCCCTTCTGGCTCCCACCTTTACGCCGTCCCTGCTGGGCTTTCCCAAGGCTCCACAGAGCAGAGCACCTATCCATTTCGGTTGAGGGCTGCTTCATGAGGATCTATAAGCATCGGCCCTACACCTCCCACACCCGAAACCCCTCAACCCTATACCCTAAACCCTAAAACCATAAACCCCGAAGCCGACCGTTTCCGGCAGGCCAAGGGCGCGCAGCAGCGGACGCGTTCACCGACGCAGCTTCAAGCGGATGCTTCGGGCCTGAATCCGTTCGGTCCCGTGGTGAGCTATGCCAAGGCTGGAAGGGGGTCCAGGTTTTGGAGTTTGGGGGTTTCAGAGGCGGGCATGACTGCAGAACCTCCTCAACAAAGAGGTTTCGCAATTGCGAGAATTGCGTTTAGAGTATGGATATTTCGGGTGAAGAGTGTCAGAGCATGGGTTCACCAATAGTCGGGGAAATGCCGTGAGGCCCTCAGCGACGCAGCTGAGTCGAAGGGCGAAGATGTCGCCGCGACGCAGGAGACAACGGTAGCTAGCACTAGGAGAATTACTGCTAGTGGCAACGGAATAAAAGCAAGGATAGAGCTGACAGTAGTATAAGCGACTTACGATCAGTACAAAGCGCAACAAGACAACAAGACCCAAGCGGGCCTGCAGCGTCGAGCGCGAGTGCGAAAAAGCTCAAGAAACGCTTTCAAAGCTGCTACAGAAGAGCTGCAGGACATGTTGAAGATCAAGGAACTCTACCAGTCGGAGGACTTTCAGGATTCTCTCTTCCTGGCCGCACGGTCCTGTTTGGGGTTTAGAGGTTTAGGGTGTGGGGCTGTCGGGTGATGGCCTAAACCCTTAACCCTCTTCCGACTGGGTGATAAACTCGTGCAAAAACAAAGCCCGACATTGCGAGGTGACGAACGACTACAACCTCACGGCCGTGGAACAGGCCGAGTCCCTCATCAAGCTGGTGCAGCCCTTGCAGTCCAGTGTGGTGCCAAAGTTCATCGTCTTCTTGGCCAAGAAGAATCGCCTGAGAGGCCTGTTTCTCGGCATGAGCGTCAGGTTTTGAGCTGTGTTTTTGATGGGGGTGTCGAGACTTTGGTGTTTAGAACCTAGTTTGAGAGTGAGGAGGGGCGAACCTTTTTTTTTTTTGGGCGGGGGTGGCTCTAAGTTTCCAACATTTCTATTTTCAACTCAAAGCACCTGCCTGTAGAATTGCAGTATCATGCAGACCCCACCTCCTCTGCGCTGCCAGTACGTCAGACCATCCCCCCCAAGCCCTGCTCTAGCCTAAGCCCGAAACGCCGAAACCCTCTAAGCTTAAAGCACTTCTCCTAAATCCTTAGATCCAACGCCTCAATAGGAGTGCCATGAAACACTCGTCAAGAGTTTATGGAAACTAAACGTTTGCGGTTTGACCCTTTGGGAGCCTGAGGAAAGCCATCTGCCTCGAGTACGTCCAGAGCCTCTACCACAGGCCGTCGGATCAGGGCGTTTAGGCCATCTGTTTTTTTTTAGGGCTTTGCCGGCAAGGCTGCAAGAGGTCTGGATGCAAAGAGGGTTTAATAGGATTAAAGGTTTCGGGTTTGCTGTTGAGGGGATTAGGGTTTGACAGGGGTTTAGGAGGTTATTGTAGGGGCCGAAACAATTGCCAATACTATCTTGGGCGGTTCCTTATTCTAGTTATAGTACAGTATACCCCAAAACCCTATTCTATTTGTCAAGGCCCCTACATTTGGAGTTTATGGCCACAGGCAGTCGATCACTCCGGTCACCGTGCGGGTGGCTCAGCGACTGACGGCGGAGCAGCTGGAGAAGCTGAAAGAGAAGATGAGGCGAGGGTCTAGGGTTTAGGGTTTAAAGGGTTTAGGGTTTAGGGTTTAGGGTTTAGGGAGATGAGGCGAAAGGGTGAAGGGAAGGAGGAGTTTAGGAGTAATATAGGGGCTTTAATAATTACCTATATGATTTTGAGGGTTCCTTTTTAAAATTATAGTATAATGGGCCCCAAAACCCTATTCTAATTATTAAGGTCCCTACAATAAGGGTTTAGGGTTGCGGGGTGCTGGGTTCACGGAAGAAGGTTTGTTGGGCTTAGTGCCCAAGGGGCTTTTGAGCTCAGGGATCGTCGTTTTCAAGTTTTGTTACCCCGGTACCGTTTACCGTTTCATCAGGGCTTCGACTCGGGTCTGTAACAGAGGGTTTCCCTACTGGACGCGGAGTGAGGACTACTCAAGGGTGTCTACGGAGGGTGTCGTGTTTTAACAGCTTTTTACAGAGCAGACTTTGGGGTGATGAAAGCCGCGCGGCTCTCGTGGGTCTCATGTGCCCTGAAGTTTAGATCCCCCAAAGCCCAAAAGTTTAGACCCCAAACCCCGTGGAGGAAGGTAATCTATATCACGCCGACCTGCCCCAAGGAACCTCGTCTGGCATGTCCGAGTTGTGAGAGCGTAAACCCCGGAGCCGAGTGCTTTGCCACGACTGTCCTTCTGGCATCTCAAAGTAAGTTTGGATGCCCTAGGCCCTAAACCTTAGCTTACGCCCTACCCGGACAAGCCTTGCCAAACCCCACACCCTAAACCAATAGTAATAATCAGATCGCAGCACTTGGCAAGAATATCCTTCTGACGAGTACATATAGTAGAACGGACCCATGAGAAGATCCATGAAATAAGAGAAGGCCAGGGCCATACGGAAGGTAGTTCGGCATGGTTTGCTGAACCAATGCAGTTTATCCGGAGTGAGTGAAATGGAGCTATGGTTCGTCGTTTCGTTGCGTTTGACACGGGTCCGTGAGCATGAGAGAGAGAGAGAGAGAGAGAGAGAGTGTCGGGGGCGCAGTTGCGCGCGGTGTAGGGGGAAACCCCTGCACCACAGCCCTGGCGAAAGAAAGAAAGAAAGAGCGAGAGACAGTGCCAATACAGAGCCTGCGGGAAGCAACACAATCGTAGCACGGCCGCCTTCAAGATGAGGGGATGAGGCACGAGGCGCGGGGTTCATAAGTAATGTTGTAAGTTCAGGGAGGTCTTGCCAGAGCCCGACCGTGCCTCATCAGACCTTGCAGTTCTCACACCAACCCAAGCGACCAGGGCGCATGCATGCGCAGGGGGAGGGGTGACCTCCTCTTTGGCTGAGTTGAAGAAGAGAGAGAGCGAGAGATGCCCAGTGGAAGAAGAAGAAGACAGAGAGAGCGAGAGAGAGAGAGAGAGGGGGGCTTGCCCTTCTTGCCCCTGGCCCTGGCGAAAGAAAGAGAGAGACACCGCGTGCTGACGGTATTCAGGCCGCGCATGGCCTTTGCAACTCATATTGGCTTGGCTACCGAAGCAGGCAGTGTACTAGCCTTACCGATCGCCCCTTGCACAAGAAGAGTACTTGACTCTGTGCCCAAGCGCGGAAGCCCCACGGATTTTGAAAGCTCAGTCCCATGGACAGTGCATTTGCTTCAGGGAAAAAGCCGACACCGACGACGTGAAGATCCACATGGAGGTGTGGTTCATCGTGGGATCGAAGCTAGAGTTAGAGTGTCAGAGGCTTTGGAGTTTTGAGTTTAAGGCTTCACGTTTAGGGGTCCGTGTTTGGGAGTTCAGGGCTTGTGAAGGCTTTCAGTCCTCGTACGCCCTAGACTTCCGAGGCGCTTTAGGCTGGGACCGGGTGCTTCTGAAGGAACTTAATTTAATAATTTGCCAATTCAAGGTGCCATAACAGGAAAGCTTACTGTTAACTCTTTCTTCCCTGATACGGTATCTTAAGCCGAGTTCTTCAACAAGAGCCGATTTTTTTTCTAAGTTCTTCTCCCGCGGGTTGGATAAAACACAATTGCACGAGAGACTTGAAAGTACAATGGGCTTGGGCTGTTCTAGCTTGTAGGGAAATCTCTGTAACACCCCCTGAGGTGGATGCCAACCTCATTGGTGGGCTCCAGGTTGAATGGGGCTACAACGACCCAGAGGCTTTGTATGCTCCCTCGCATGGTATCGACCCTTGTCTCAAGTGCCACTTCAACGTCTGGGGTTTCAGATTTTGGGTTTGATGTTTTCGAACGGCATGCTCTGAGAAGTAGATTCGAAGGATTTCCGCCCTGTAGTTGAGGACAGGCTGCAACCTGAATCTCAGATTCAAGGCATCGGGTTGCGAGTTGAAATCGCTGAGATACCAAGGCCGAAAGCATGAATCTGTCTTGCATTGACATGTTGAATCATTACCCGCGGCTTTTTCCTGCTGCTGTCGTTGTCTATCATTTTTCTGCGCACATGATGGGTGGAACATCGTATCATCGTCGCCTGCTTGAGAGGCTTGTTTTTTCTCACAGCTTCTGTTGGTCATCGCGATCAGGGCTCTGCTATTTCGTTCTGTTCGTACTGCCGTATGTGGCTTCTGATGCTACGGTCATGACAGCTGCGGCTATGATCACTGCTGCATGCACCGGGCATTACAGGTTTAGATATGCAAGTAGACCGCTGTCATTATTTTCTTACTGTCGCAGAGCCAGTAGCACCAGTGGTGTAAGCGTGATTCACAGATGGTGGTGGGATCCTTCAACCACAAGTCCTAAACCCTCCAGCAACCCCTAAGTCTTAATGAGGAGGATCCCAAACCCCAACCTAAAACCCTGAAAATACCCTTAAAGTTTAGGATACGTTGTCGGGCCTTTGCTGAAGAACGGCAGAGGAGGCAATGCTGGCAGTCATCAAGCCCGGTTTCGAAAAGGATTTAGGAATTTAAGGTTTAGTTAGGGATTGTACAGTTTTACTAATTCTTTGCATTGTGTTCAGGCGATTGCACAAGTCCTGATGCAAAAAAGTCAGGGTGATAGAACCGTATTGATGGCTTATCCTTGAGGAGGATCCTCAATCAGCAGGCCCTCGAAACGGCCGGGCTCGTCGATGCGCTCTAACGGCTCAGCGCCTCTCGGCCTCTTGGCCTTTCCTGGCTGATCCTTTGGAATTTTTCCTTTTTGTCATAGTACATTGTTTAGGGGTTTGCCAGCAACATTCGTTTTCTGTGTCTAAGGGGCGTATAGTTTCGTTGGGGAGACTTTTGAGGAAAGGGTTGGGTTAGGTGTAAGGGTGTCACTTGACATGATTCGAGCAATTTGAAGCCTAACGCCCTCACCTTCTGCTCCAAGTGAAGAGTCCATTACACAAAGGCGACACCGCGAACGTCCGACCCCCAAAGCCCCCTGCTGCGATTGCTGCCAGCAAGGAGTCTTCGATTGCGCGGCATTGCTGCCCATTCTCCGAGTCACTGGCTTGCCGAGCCATGCATTCGTCTGATTTTTGAGCTTTGCTCGGAGAGAGTCGACTGGGTCAACTTTCTCCCTCCAGTGTGACGTGTATCTGTTTGGTATATATGTGTGTGCGCACGCCACTTCTCCAAGGGGCGTTCAGCCCATGGCCATGCAGCAAAAAAAGATTTCCGAACCTCTTTGTCGTCCCAGTGCCAAGCCTTCCTGGCGACATCTCAAAGATATTTCAGACAATACCAGGCACGGGGTGCAGAGGCTTCCCAACCTTAATCCCCCAGCACACCCCTAAACCCTAAACCCT